TCATCTCTACAATAAATCAAAAAATCAGCCGGGCGTGGTAGCGCATGCCTATAATTCCGGCAACTTGGAAGGCTGAGGCGGAAGGATCGCCAGAGCCCAGCAGGTCGAGGCTGCGGTGGCCAGGAGCAGCCACTGTACTCCAGTCTGGGTGAAAGAGTGAGATTCCAACTCAAAAAAAAAAAAATAAAAATATATTGAACACCTGGGTCCCTACCTGATTCATCATTCCCCTCATAATTTTCCATGTTGCAAACCAGACCTAGAAGCTCAAAAAATCTGTACTGCAATTGCTATTTATGACTATTGACCGCACCATCTGGCCCACCCTCTCAGAGGCTCCAGAAGCTATTTTCATGCCCTAAACTCTACTCTGTCTCTTTCCTCCCATAGTTCACAGGGACTACAGTCATTTTAGGCATCTGAACCTAGACTATGAAGCCCACTCTTCAGGGAGGTGGAGGGAAAAAACACAGAAGGCAAAATTCAATACAGGGGTAGTGGTAAGCAGGGAGAAAACTGAGGTAAAATCAGGAATCTGCGAGATTCTAAATGACACAAATGTTTGAAAACCAAATATTTCTAGACTTAGGACACAAAGAACATCATTCCATACGTTAGGTGTACACTTGGAAAATATATTTAAATAAAGATTTAATATGATCTTTAAACTGGGGTCATTTATTTATGGTCAATGTGCAAAAATGAGCCACAAAGTGTAACATGTAATAAACATATCATGTCCCTTACTGCCCACTTTGTAATGACTTGATTGAATATTGTGTAGGCAAGTGAAATATTTTGAATTAATTATAAGAGCCTGAAAATATAACCCACTCATTGGACAAGTATAGGTTTTGTCTGCATATGTATTTCAGAGAAGGGGAAAGACCTTAGAAAGCCTTTGGGTAACAGCAATAGGAGCAAGGGAGCCGAAGAAGATGCTGAGAAACAATCATCTCTCTTTCTCACCTCAAAAGGTCTGAATTCCAGGACTGAGATGGTGGAATGGCAGGTGTGTTTCAGACAATGGAGCATAACTAGGTGAGATTTTGCCTTTGCCATTTTGAATTTGTCTGTCTTCCAAGGGGAATCTTAGATTGGTATCAGCTTCCTCTCATCTGGTTAACCTACTACTGACCATAAATAATGCCTAGGGATAGAAATGAAAGGGTCTTATACGTTACCCTACCACCCCTACCACCTCTTCTTGGACTAAAAAAAAAAGAGAGAGAGATCCCAAAGATGCCCCTGCTATTGCCTGGTTTATACACTTTTAGTGTGCCTGTACCAGAGACCTCATTCAAGAAGAATCTAAATTAGGAAGGATAATAAATTAAAGAAGGCTGGGCAAGGTGACTCACACCTGTAATCCCAGCACCTTGGGAGACCAAGGCAAGAGGATTACCTGAGCTCAGGAGTTCGAGAGCAGCAAGGGCAATATGATGTGGCCTTGACTCTACAATAAATCAAAAAATTATCTAGATGGAGTGGAGGATGCCTGTTGGCCCAGCTACCTAGAAGGCTGAAGCAGAAAGATCACCTGAGCCCAACAAGTCAAAGCTGAAGTAGCCATGATGATGTCACTTCACATCATGAGTGAAACTCCAACATAAATAAATAAACAAATAAATAAATAGTAAAGAAAGTAAGTTAGAAGGAGGAGAGAGAGACAAAAATGATGACACTGTGAAAAGATGCTATCATTTTTTTCTACTGAGAACACTTCAGAAGCAGAGAATAGTAGCGTAACAGCTTTTCTCAGATGAAGCAAGTGTCAAGTCATACCTGATTCTAAGAGAAGTTATAGAAGATATTCTACCCCACCGAGGAAATTTGCACTAAAGTAAGAACTCAGTAGAATTAACTGGAGAAACTATATGATGCAACACTTGCAGATTGCTTATTTCTTTTGTTATTTTACAGATAAAGTGATAATTCTTTGTACTGCCTTGAGATGTGGTTGCAAAGCAGTCAAGTATCTGCACACAGTGTGGCTATGAATCAGGAAGATAATTTACTGACAGGTGCTTAAACATGGTGAAAGCAGATTGCTATTTCATAATTATTGTGTCAGAATCTGTTGTGCTCCCACAAACATACCAGATGGGACTACAGTGAGAATTCTGGGGGACCAGTAGCACTGAAAGCCAGGTAGCCTTAAAAGATGTGAGCACTGGGGTTGTATCATAGTCACATATCACCCATGATGGTCTCCAGTGTTTCAGAAGGACTGCTTGTGGGAAGCCTCATAGCTCATCCAGACTGAACTGGATATAAATAGTATGTGTCCAACGGAAAGCTTAATGGGGTTCCCAGTAGTTTTGCATTCCTAAGTGATAACCTTAACATAATCAAGAGGATTTCTCAAGAAGATAAACTATCTATAAAAATTAGGGACAAAAGAAGACTTAAAAGTCATGGATACCTTCTAACCCAAGGTGAATGAGGTGTGAGATAGTGATCTGCCTGCTATTCAGAGGGCAGCAGAGGAAGTAGTGCGCTTAGGAAAATCATAGCAATAATAACTCATTTAATGTGTATGTGATTTAATGTGTACACTTTTAAAGTCCATACAAAACTTTTATGTTAGTGCATTCACTCTTCAAAATAACAACAAGATAAATATTAAGATTAACAATTAACAACAAGATATTTTCACCATTTTCAAGGTAATAAAACAAAGGATCCATTTGGAATTTTCTGTACATATTTGTCCTTGCCCCATTTTCTTATATCAGTAGGGACTCATTAGTTATTTTACACTTTGAGCTATAATCCAATAGTGTTTTATTAAATTTGTTGTTCAAATTGTTCCAGCTTTGGCCATTGGGAGCTCTTTCCGTTGGCTATGTCTTTTGGTATTTCCCTTTAATGCAGGACTTTTTCTTTTTTCTTTCTTTCCTCTCTCTCTCTCTCTCTCTCTCTCTCTCTCTCTCTCTCTCTCTCTCTCTCTCTCTTCCTCCTTCTCTCTCTCTTTCTTCCCTCTTCCTCCCTCTCCCTCCCTCCCTGCCTCCTTCCATCCTTCCATTTTCTTTCTTTCTTTCTTTCTTTCTTTTCTTCTTTCCTTCCTTCCTTCCTTTCTTCCCAATTTGTTTTGCTTTTTAGTACTTCTTTACTTTCTGGGACTATGAGATGTTCTAGGCTCATATTGTATATCTCCTGTACCAGTCATAGAATCAATAATTTCTATAAGAAGTCTTGGGTAATTTTATTGGAGAATGGTATTAGAAACCAAGACCTGGCACTAGGTTTGGTTATTATGACTGGAATATCATTTCATTTGGGGTTTCTTAACTGGCAAAGAAAATAAATGTGTATACATTAATCCAAAAAACATAACATGAAAACACATAACAGTATTAAACTCATTGGAGAAGTTATGTATAGTCACTCAAAACACTCTAATAGTGTAATTGGATACATACATGTCTTTTAACTCTAGTATAGAAGTTAAAAGTCAAAACTATTACAAAAATATTGTTGGGGCTCAGAAAGCAACAGTCAAAATGAAGACCTCAGAAGTAGTCTCAGAAGTAAAAGTGTTTTTTGTTTTGTTTTTACCTTCTCCTGTTCTCCTGTCCTCCTGTCTCTCGGTCCCATTCTTGCCATAGAAACTATCTCTGTTCTCCAAAATTGGTCATAGAAACTAGAACCTCTGAAGGCTAATGTGGAAAACTGAATGATTAAAGAGAAACACAAAGTGGCTATCAGGAATGTTCAAGAAATGGTGACCAGTTTATTTTGGTAATAGTGGTAAACAAAATTTGAGAGAAGTCTAATGGGATATTAGGGTCAGAACACAGAAGGTCTATGATTCTTTTTTTTAATGCTGTGAACATACAATTACTTAATGCTGTGGAAATATTAAATTTTAATACATGTCTTTCTGCAAAAATAAGCTTCAATATAAAAAAAGTAGGATAGTACAATTGGGAAAAATTGTCAACGATTGGAAAACTTATGGACTTGAAATCCTTGTTTTCACCCTCAAAAAAAACAGGTTACATGGTAAAATATACCTTAGTAATATTGAATTGTGCGGCACCAAGAAGAAGGAGATTGTAAAGTAGTGGAACAGACTTTTCTGTGAAAAATAAACCCTAACACTTTCATGTCTGGTAAACTGTGGGCAGCTTTGTTAGCCATAGCTCAGTAAGGAGGTTGCAGAAAATGGCAGTAGAGAGAGTGAATAGGACAGTTTATTTGTGCCTAGGATGGACAAGTCAAGGTGAGAGAGGGATGGGATGAGGATTATAAAGACATAAAGATGAAGATGATAAAGAAAAGAACACATTACACTTCAAACAATACTCCTCCCCAGCCCCAAAAGTCCTAAAAAGATTGTCAACCTCCTTTACAACAAAAAAAACTTAAGAAAGAAAATCTTGGTAGCAAGAAAGAAGAGGAAATGCTGCCTCCAGAGAGGTAGCACAGATTAACTGGGTCTAAGAGGACCTGAGAAACCGGTGGGTGGCATATCTGCCACAGGTGCCATGGAAGAGGGTGGGGGTGTTCAAGGCAAAACACTTGACTCCAAGAGCCAAAGTTCTAGGGTCGGCACCTGTATGTCAGCCCAAGCAACACCTTCATGACACAAAAGCCAAGCAGGGATCTTCCAGGCACAATCAGAGACAGAAAAGGAATCTGTATCATTGAGACAGGCAGATCTTTTCAAAGGCATCACACAAATTTTGTTTCTTTAATGGTCAAATGATCTCACCCTAATCCAGATTCATTCAGCTAAGGCCTGACAAGACCTTCAGTTACTAATTAGATCAGGAAAAATTTGCAAATAACTATAGAATCCAGGAAAGGGAGAATTACTTTGAAGAAACAGGAAACAAAGATTCACAAATGAATGTCTTCATTGTTGCCTAGGATAGTCAAAAAAAACAGAATCAGAACTCATTCCAGGATTTTAAAATGAAATTTTCTTTCCAACTTAAAAACAATTCCGTTTTTTTATTAACTCCAAGAATGGGTGTAATCCTCTTCACCTTTTATAATCTCCTCAGCAGATTCCGGATTCCCTGCTTGATCTCCTTGGTTCTCACACCATAAACAATGGGGTTCAGAGCTGGAGGGATGAGGTGGTGCAGGATGTTTAGCAAGATGGGGATGTCTTGAGGGATTCTCTTCCTGGCCAGGTTAGTGATGACCAGAACCAGCAGGACTGTGCTGAAGAAAAGGATGAGGATGAAGTGGGAACCACATGTGCTCAGGGCCTTGGCCGCAGCACCCTCAGCCTTAGCACAACTTTCAAGATAAAAGAGTAGGAGAGAACAATCAACATGAGGTCAGAGCCCAGCAGGGTCCAGCCTGCCACAAACTGGTAGAGCCGATTGAAAGTGATGTTATCACAAGAAAGTTTGGACACAGACAGGTTAGTGCAGATGCAATTCTTGATGATGTTCCCAGCACAGTATCTGAGTCTGGCAGAAAGGATGGGAACAGGAAGGGAAATGAAGACATTCCGGGCTATAACAAAGGTGGCAGCCCTAACCACAAACTTGTCAGTGATGATAGATGGGTACCGCAATGGATGGCAGATGGCCACATAGCGGTCATAGGCCATGACCATAAATGTGCAGGATTCCATAGTCAGAAAACTGTTCATGATGAACATCTGGAGAAAACAGGCAGGAAAGCGGATAGATCTGAGGCCAAACCAGAAGATGGCCAGGACCTTGGGGATGACAGTGATGCAGAGCACGATGTCCAGCAGGGAAAGGAGGCTGAGCAGGTAGTACATAGGCTCATGCAGAGAGGCCTCCAGCCAGATGGTGATGAGGAGGATGGCGTTGGCCCCCATGGCCAGGAGGAAAAGGAGGCTGAGGGGCAGGGACAGCCAGTGCTGCCAGCTCTGGAAGTTGGGGAAGCAGATGAGGAAGAATTCAGAGACTGAGGTAGTGGAGTAGTTGCTGGGTGATGCCATGTAAAGTATCCTGATCAAATTGGCAATCCAGAGCACCTTGAAATGTAGGAGAGAAGCATATCAACATAGAAAGCACATGTTCCAGATATGGTAGGCTTGGTTTTCCACTGGGGCCCTTAATCTGTCCCAATGACATTTTAAAATGACCACCACCATCATCATCCTGACATTTAACCACATATGTATTGTGTGGCAAACACTGTGCTGAATGCTTTCTATTTGGTAGCTCATGTCGTCTTTTAAAAAAATAATACTACAGAGTAAATTAGAATTGTTAATCTAATTTTACGGATAATGAAAGGGAGATGAAGGGAAGCTGAGTAGTTTGCTCAAGATTAGAAAGTCAGTAAACGATGAAGCCAGGACTGTGAACTAGACAGTCTGTCTTCAAAGTCTCCGTTTTTAGCCACTACACTATTTGCCTCAATAAGCACAATTACTTAACTAAGCCCTTCCTTCCTTCAGTGTGTTTAAGGGATAGATGTGTTGAATACTCTGCTTCGCTGACTCCATGTGGGCCCAAGAAAAACCTAGCCCTTTACTCCATAGAACTGGACAAGGCCTGACTTCAGAATTGTTTATTTTCATTTTCAGGAAACACTGGATTAGAGGTAGAACAGCCTTCAATCCCATCTAAGAATAACTTCTTCCTGCCACAAAGAGGATTTCACTTGAATCATCATTTCTTTTACTGAATTATTTGCTGTTGTTTATCTTTGTGAAGATTCAAAAGAGGTTTTATTTTGGAAGGGACTGTGAATGTCCTATTCTGATGACAGAGATAGTCATTACTTAGGAGTACTCTAGAAGGAATATGAAAAAACTATAAATAAGTAAACAGCTTTGGGAGTAGAGGTGGGAATGTGATAGGTTTAAAAGAGGAACACACTTTGAAACATGGAAGGCAGAAGAAATATTATATTAACTTAGGCAGAAAGTTGAGAGAGGTCTGCAGGCTTTAGGAATATCAAAAGTTTGAGCCTAACAATACCATTCCATGTCTGGAGGACTGAGCAGTGTGGCTGTCTCTAGCTTACCCATGTGGTTTCTTAACATGCACAGCTCACAGAAATGCTATCCAAAGATGAGCCGCTCTTATCATGGGGGCCTTGACTATTAATTCTTTCATTTCCTGCTATGAGGAAACCCAGCCTCAGACAGTTTGCTATGAAAAAGATAACGGGACAGGAGTGCTCCTGGACCTTTCTGGAGGCTTTCTCCTTCAGCAAGGTCTTCGGAATTGTCCTATATCTCCAAAACTGCACCAATCCCCTGCCTGCTCCCTAGGTGGTGATCCCCTTCTTATACCAAGAGCCATTTCTTTATTTCAGGATGATTATGAAGAAATGAATTGAAGAGACATTTCAATATTGAAATCAATAAGAATTGCATGTAACGGATGAGGGAAGCAAGCCATTTGTAAATTAATTATTTAACCATTACCCAAGCATATACTTACTGCTTGCTATTGGGCAAGGTGAAGTAGAACAAATTGAAGAAGTATGAATGGTGCAAAGTCTTGAATCTCAAGTTACAGTGTTAGAGATGACTATCTACTTTTCGTATCTAATCTACTTAAGGGCATGTGTGACAGAAAGAATAATACCTATACTGAGAAATTAGAGAGGAGAATGAAGAAAATAGGAGGGTTTGAAGAATTTAAAAATGAACTTATATTTGAAGGTTTATGCCTGAGCTATTTGAAAATTATCCAGATCAAGCTTTCAGTGATTAATCAAATTATATATACCTAGAACTCTGGAGTAAATTTTAGTCTGCAAATAAAAATGCATTTCTTGTTATCTGAAAAAAAAAAGCAAAGAGGTGCTAGCATATGAATAATTGGGGAAAACCTAAGCATGCTTTAAGGTCTAAAGTTTAGACTAAGAATTTTCAAGTTATGTTGGCAGTTGCTGATTTAGGTGAATAGAAAACATTTGATTAAATAAGCTTCTAAAGAGGATATAAGGGGGCCAATTCAATACAGCAGTGAGGAATCTTTGATTTAAAAAAAATGACAGAAGCAAACCATCTAACTTTTCTCCTCTCCTCTTTTCACAAAAGAAAATATTTACATTGGAAACAAGAACTAGACCGGGCGCGGTTGATCAAGTCTATAATCCCAGCACTTTGGGAGACCAAGACGAGAGGATAGCCTGAGCCCACGGATTCAAGACCAGCCTGGGCAACATGGTGAGACCTCGTCTCTACAGTAAATCAAAAAAAATTAGCTGGGCATGGTAGTGTGCGCCTGTAGTTTCAACTACTTGGAAGGCAACGGTGGAAGGATCGCCTGAGCTCAGCAGGTGGAGGCTGCTGTGGCCAGGAGTATGCCACTACACTCTAGCCTGGACGACAGAGTGAGACTCCAACTCAAAAAAAAGGAAACAAGAACTGAGTACTCTCCACATGGTAAAAATTGTGAAGCTTGTGTTACATACTTTGGTAGTGGGACAAAACAGAATTTAAAACTATGAAGCTGGAATCTCCCACAAGAAAAATAAATAGCCATTCTGGGTCCTGGCTACAGCATCAATTTCAAGTTGCTAATGAGAGTAAATGTCCATTGCTTTCCTCTGAGGTAGAAGGAACTACCCGTGACCACACAAACTACTTGTGTTCATTGACACTTTTGGAGGTGAGAGGGAAGTACTTTCTGTCTTGTTCTACACAAAATATAGTTACTTTCGAGTTATTCTACTCTTTAGAAATTTGAACATTTTCTCCTTTTGCTTTGTCTCATAACAGGGATCAATCTTGCTATTAGTAACATGGCAGTTAATGTTCTTGGGTAGCATTGGAAATGAGTTCTTTCTATTCCCTTTTAACAATAAACTAAAAGCATAGTTTTTCTGCTTTATGCCATTCCCTTAAATGTATCTAATCTTAGAAATCATCCAAGGATTTGGTTTTCCATAATCAGGGTGGGAATGCCTATTTGTTTTTTTTGTTTGTTTTTCATTTTGCTCAACATTGCTTTTGAGATTTATTCATGATAGTACATGGATAGCATTCATTCATGTTGTAGAAATATACCACTAATTTATTTATTTTTATGCTAATGAAAAGTTAGGTTGTTTTCTTTTTTATTTTAAAGATGGGTTTCATTCAGGAGTAGGTACATAAGTGGTCATTGTACAGGTGGAGTTTGGGCCTCCCATTGGTCTTCATTTCACCTGGTAGGAATACATATTTGTAAAAGAAAGGAATCTGACTGACCTAGAGCTCCCAGATTAGGTATCCAATGGAAGACTCTGCTAGAAGCTCAAATAACTATCAGCCAGTCCCCTTGACCCAGGCTAAAACTTTTCCTTTCTTCTTCATTATCTACCATAAGCTAGTGAAATTGAGTTTTTTTGTTTTGTTGTTTTTTGTTTTGTTTTGTTTTGTTTTGAGTTGGAGTCTCACTCTGTCACCCAGACTGGAGTGCAGTGGTCGCTATCAGCCACTGTAGCCTCGACCTGCTGGGCTCCGGTGATCCTTCCGCTTCAACCTTCCAAGTAGCTGGAACTACAGGCATGCACTACCACGCCCAGTTAATGTTTGATTTATTGTAGAGATGAGGTCTCACCAAGTTGCCCAGGCGGGTCTCGAACCCGCGGGCTCAGGTAATCCACTCACCTCAGCCTCCCAAAGTCCTGGGATTACAGGCTGAGCCACCGAGCCCGGTTGTGAAATTGTTTTTAAAATAATTAATTTTACAACTTATTAAAGGATTCCTAGTAGTAATAGAGGATCTCAAATATTCTAAAATGATCATAACTCTCACAAGAGACAGCCTTTGAGAACTAGAACTGGTACCTTTAAGAAAATTACAATAATTCCTTGATTTATGCCACAAATAGTTTTGTTTTTGGTTTTTTTTCTTTGGGGGGGGAATTATGACTTTAAGAGAAATTGCGCATAGTAAAACCAATTTTACCATAGACTAATTGGATAAACACGATTTAAGTTCCTATGGCATATTTCTGATCACAAAAACATCACTAAACCTCTAAATAAAGACCCAAAACACTTCTAAAATTAAACATTAAAATAAATGTGAACTACACATACATTTAAGAAATAGTAATAAAAACGAGACATTTATTTATCTGCTCTTTGGTGAATCAGTTCATAATGGTAGTGGGTTAAATCAAGGAATAAACGTTTGCAAAGTAAAAGTTGTAAGGAGCACCTCCTGCCACCACACAGTTCAAAAACCAACAATAGCAGATATGGTGGGCTCGCTGAGCAATTTCGTACTGCATCGTTGACTGTCACACATTTGTATGATCACAGTACATTTTACTAATCTTTGCTTTACAGTAATTTGTATTCATTGATTTTCCAACCCTCTTGTTCCATTCCTTGAAATGGATAGGATAGGTCAGAGCCTATCCTGGCAGCTCAAGACACAAGGCGGGAGCCAGTCCTGGACAGGACCCCATTCTATTACAGGACACTCACACACACACACACACATACACACACTCTCTCTCTCTCTCTCTCTCTCTCTCTCTCTCTCTCTCTCTCTCTCTCTCTCTCATGCAGACTGGAACAATTAAGACCTAATGTGCACACCTTTGGGGTGTTAGAGGAAACCGGAGTATCTGGTAAAACCTCAGACGTGGAGAAAACATGGGGAGAACGTGTAGACGTGGAGAGTGCCTGCAAACTCCACACCAACAGTGGTTCTGGCCAGGAATTGATTTGTTTTTCTCATCAACATTATAACAAAACAATGTTAAATGAAGTGACTTTATTCAAGGAGCTGCTCTAATCAAATTAGCTAAGGTTCACCAAAGATAGAATAGAAATGAGTTATTGAGTGAGTTGTAGGCAAATAAATGTATACAGAAACCCATATTTACCTGGTAAGTAAAATTACCTAGGCTTCCTTGTGCCAAGTTCTAATCATCTGAGCATATGGAATCTACATTCTGTAAACTCACCTGTTTTTATTCCAGTTTCATCTTTGATGGGGGACCATTTGTTTTCCCTCACTAGTAAACAAAGAGCAAGAGACCAGGTACTAAGAAGGATAACAGTAATGGCTGTCACATCCA